CTGCAAAGCCAAAACAAATACGCAGTGTTCCCTTGCATCCCAGACAAAAACAACCAAACAAACCAGGCATGCACAGCGTTGTCTTGAACCGAGGGTGAGGGCCCCTGGCCATTTAGGATTCGTGCGTTCAAATTCCGTCTGGAGGATTCATAAGTCAAGACTCTTTAATAAGGATTCCTTGATACATTTTCTGAAGTAGGGATTCCTCAAAACATATTCCTTCGGAAGGGCCCTCCTACTCGAGAGTCCGTATTCTGGAGTTCCTCAGCGACCTTAACTACGTTCACTGAACAAGCCAAAATTTCGGCGCCTGCGGCGGGTTTCTTTTCAGTCGTTCCAGGTGGAGAACCTGCGGCCCATACCGCGTTCAGTGTACAACTCCAAACTTTCGGCGCCTGCGGCGGGCTGTTTTTGAATCCTTTCCAGGTGGAGATGGAGAACCCGCGACCCAACCGCGACCCCAACTACGTTGGCTGAACAAGCCAAACATTCGGCGCATGCGGCGGTCCGCCGGCTCGACGCCCGCGTCGCCCGCGCCCGCCCCCTTGCTCTTATCCGCAGTTGCGGTGTGTGTATATGTATATATATATATATGTATGTATGTGCGTGCATGTATATATATATACATCTATACATATGTCTGTATGTGTATATGTATATATATGTATACATATATATATATGTATATGCATATGTATGTATGCATGCATGCACGTATGCATGCATGCATGCATGTATGTATGTATGTATGCTTGTACGTATGTATGTATGGATGGATGGATAGATGCATGCATGTATGTTTGTATGTATGTATATATATACATGTGTATGTATGGATAAAGACTGCAAAGGCGCTTCGCGCCATGCACCTTGGTCCTTGAAGATTGGTATGCTGGCGGGATAGCATGAAGATCACGCCGACAATTTAATGATAACTCCTTGTTGCCTTTTCCAGCATCGCTGCTATGATAATGTTATGCGTTATCATTCCTCCATGCTTCTTTCTTCTTTTGTTCTCCATACCCTGCGCATTCCCCCCATCCTCCTCAGCTCTTTTTTGCGGAGGTTCCTCCTTGGAGAGAGAGCCTTTGGTGGCCTCGCAAAAGTTGTTTCAGGCTTTCTTAAGGCCTTCTGGAGGCGTCCTGGTCGTATTCTGGGGCCTCTGGGGGCTTCCTCGGGCCACCATGCCTCCAATCGCGGTCTCCCTGAACGACAGGGTCACGATTTGGAATGCTTCGGAGGGTGTCTTGGGGCCATCTTGGGCCGCCATGGGGCTCTCTGAGGGCCATCTTGGACCCGCGTTGTGCCGATTTGGGGCTCTCTTGGACTGCCTGGAAGCACTTTCGGATGGTTGTGGGGCGATTTTGGAGCCTCCCAGGCGGCTTCGGACGCCCGGAAGACCGCCGCATTGGAGCGTCGGGAAGCCGAGAAAAGGAGAACCCCAAAATCCACCAACAACCAATGGGAAATCAATGATTTTTGCCTCTCGGGGCCTTCTTTGGAGTGCTCTGTGGAGGCCTCTTGGGCCACCTTGAGGTCACGTCGGTCACTCTTGGAGCGCTGTTGTGCTGTCTTCGGGGTCTCTGGGACGTCTCCGATGACCCCCCTGATCGCCCTAGGTGTGTTGGGAAGGCTTGGCAAAACGCCCTGAGAGGCCCGGGGGGCCGCTTCGAGGCCCGTCCGGAGGGTCCCCAAGCCCCAGATCCAGGGAATCCGTCTTTTTTTGTGGGGGAGGGGGTCCCCCCGCCCGGGCTTGGTAAATATGTATATGTATGTATGTATGCATGCATGCATGCATGTATATATATATATATATATACATATATATAGATATATGTGTGTACGCACATATAGATATGCATACATATATTCAGATGATGTGTTTGGGATGGTAATCGCAGAGACAATATGAGTTCACGTATTTTTTTGTTTTTTGTTGTTGTCAACTCTGAGTGAAAACCAACGCCTCAGCCTTCGGGCGGCAGAAATTTCAAACATCTCTGTGTAAGAAATAGGATTTGCAAAGCATTGGGGTGCCACGCGCGACGATTCCACAGAGAGATATTTTTGGGATGGGAATCGCAAGAACCATGCGGTTCCACAGAGATGTTTTTTTCGGGGGGGGGGGTCGACACTTTCTGGCTGAAAACCAACGCCTCAGCTTTCAGGGCACAGAAAGCTCACAGTAAGCTCAAACATTTGTTTGAGAACACAGGGTTTGTGAAGCAAGGGAGTGCCAAACCATGCGAATCCATAAAGATTTTTGAGATCCGGAGACATGGGATGGGGGACTGCCGCGTGGATTTTCGTTCGGAGGTACCAGAAACCAAAAGCCTCAAACATCGATGTGACATTATATGGTTTCTGCGATTCCCAAAGCGAGAATCTCAAACATGTCAGGGAAAACGCAGGTTTTGCGAAGCAAGGAGGTGCCCAAACTTGCGATGCCAGAGCGGTTTTTTAGATTCGGACACCTGGGGGGAGAGAGCGTAGATTTTCTTTCGGAGGTTGAAAACACGATACATTTCGAACACCGATGCGAAACTCATATGGTTCCTGTGATTCCCAAGCCAAGAATTTCAAAACCATTGTTAAAATCATGGGGTTCGATGGCCCATCGTGTGCGCAGAATGGTCGCCGCAAGCTCTGGGCTCCCTTTTCGGGGGAATGCGCCGCGTGCATTTTCTGCAGTGCGGTGCCGTTCGGTGTTTACCAGCCTAGCGGCCAGAGCGCGCGCGCGAGTGGAGTCGAAACACGTCACCGCTGACACCAGGGGGGGACGTAAGCGAGGAACGGGAGAAAAGGGAAGGGGAGCGCAGCAAGGAGGGGGGAGGAACGGAGCACGAGTGCAGCAAGGAGGGGGAGGAAAGGAAGAGGAGCGTATGACATCGTCAGCAGAAAAGGGACCAGGAATGGGCGCTGGGGGGGTTATCCATAAAAATATAGATCTATCGATGTTCTATATATATATATATGTATAGATTTATGATATTATACATTATCTATATAGATCGATCGAGTTGTTCTCCCCTCCCCGCCCGTTTTGCAAGCCTTGTGGGGTGCCCTCGTCGCCGCGGCTGCATGCGCTCCGGGCGCCTGGCCAGGGCGCGGTCCTGAACAGGCCGTGCGTGCGTTTTCTGGCCCGACCAGTTCCGGGGCACTTCTGGGCCCCGCGGGGCGCGCGTCGCTTCTTCAGCGCCCCGCGGCGGGTTGCCCTCGTCGCCGGGCCCGGGGGATTTCTGACGGAGTAGCCTTCGCCACCCGAGCGAAACTCGAGCTGGAGGTTTTTCGAAGTGTTCGACGTCGGGGGGCTGCTTCTGGGGGCCCAGGGGCCGTCAGCATGAAGGGGCGCATTCGGTTCAGAAGGGGTTAGGACTTGCCTCGGCGTTTCCTTCGGCGATCCCGAACTTGGGCCAGACATTTGCTCCGTTCGGTGTTCAGGACCCGTTCTAGTCATGCTTCTGCGTGCGCCGACGCAGGCGTAGCTACACGTGAGGTTGGACGGGGGATGGCCAGGGCATTGCAGCATGTATGCAAATCCATGTCCGCGTCCTGTAATTGAATTGGTTCCTTCCGGCCCGCGAGGAGGAGAAGGTAAAGAGGAAAATGAGTAGAAAGTGGACTCGGAGGATTGAGAGGGTTTGTGGACTGCAGGCTCAGACTCAGCAGTTCCATGCCTCACGGCGGCAGACGGGCAAGAAACAACGGGTCAGCCGGACCCAAGGGTGAGCGAGGAGGAACTTCGCGTTGTATTGGAGGGAGATGGAGGGCAGAGAGAGGAGGTGGAGTGGGGGGGAAGAGGGAGGTGGATAGGGGAGGAGGAAGTGGAGGAAGAGGAGGAGGAGGAGGAGGAGGAGGAGGAGGAGAGGAGGAGGAGGACTAGTGCAACCCCAAGTTTCACCCACGATGGTGTAGTAAACCGCCCCTCCAATATCCCTCTCGTACACCCCTACACGGGTTCAAAAACATTGGGGGAGGTGCCCCGTCGGAACAAAAAACAGCTTGAAAATTATGAACCGTGCCAAAACACCACGTCTGGAACTGCAGCGCCGCGAGTTAATGTTTCTGGTGCGTCGTGACGGGCCTGAACCGTGCGAGAACACATCATTCCTGGGACTCCAACGCCGCGAGTCAACTTAACTGTTGCGGCCTGGTAGTCCCACATCGTGCCATATCATTGTTTGTGGGACGCCATAATTAGTGACGCAGGTGTACACTCTTCAGACGAAGATGCAAACGCTAAGGAGAGAGCCGCGTATTGAAGAGGTACCGCCTTCCATCCGTGAAGCTCATGCAAACTTTCAACACGAATGTACGCGGGCGCCAAGGACGAGACTCACATTGAGAAAATGGCCCGCCCTACATTTGTGAAGCTCGTGCAAGCTTTGAGCACGAATGTGCGCGCCGCTACGGCGAGAGACACATTTAGAAAACAACTTGCCATCCATCCGTGAAGCGCTTGTGAGCATTTGAGACGAAGGTGCTCGGTGCTGCGGCGACACCCACATTTGGCAAACCACTTGCCCTCCATCCGTGAGCCTCGTGCAGTCGTTTGAAACCAATCTGCGCGGCGCTAAGACGAGAGCCTCATCTAGGAAGCCACCTGCCCTCCATCCGTGAAGCTTTTGCAAATCCGCACCTTCAGGATCACAACTCGTGAAGAGGTCTCAGGCGATTCGCCTGGCCCGCCCTACCGACTTTTCTCGGCTGTGAAGGTTTGGATGCGTGTGTTTTCTTGCGTGTTCCAGTCAGCGCACCCCCAGCTCGGGGATCCTGGCAGCCGATGGAATGCCGCGAGCCCTTCTGCTGCCGTTGCGAACCTGGTCGATTCAGCTACACGTATGGAGGAGGAGGAGGAGGAGGAGGAGGAGGAGGAGGAGGAGGAGGAGCAGCAGGGAGAGGAGGGGGCGAACAGCGGGCGCAGCTGCGTGTGGAAATCATCCAGCGCTCGTCACCCAGCCTGCGCTGGCAGGCCAGCAGTCGGCGCCGCCCGCCCAGAGGACCTGGACCACTTCACGGACGCGTCGAGGCCCGTCGAGGTGCAGGTGGACCGGCTGCATTGCCTGCACCGCATGGCGGAGCTTGCGCTCATGTGCACCAGGCCCCCGCGGCGTCGTCGGACGAGGCGCGGGTTTGTCCATAGCCGCTGCCCGGGGGAATCGACTTTTAGGGGCATCGGCAAGCGGTGGACATGGATATATTCGGGCCTCTTGCGCCAAAGGTTCCGTATCCGCCGCCCGCTGGGGTCCCAGGGTGACGTGTCCCCGGCGGTGAATCTGGATAAATCCCCGCCTCGCACGTCGGGATTTGGTCGACTTGACGTAAGGGTGACCTTTCGCCGGAGTGACTTTTGATGCGGGCACAGGTGGGTCCCCAGATGGCTGAAAACGAAGCGGTAGCAGCGGCTTGCGCGCCCAGGTTTGGTCTCCCCGCGGCCCCCCAGAAAGCCGCGCACCGAAGGTCACTCTTACCCAGGGTCACTCTTGCGTGTAGCCGACTTGGGCCAGCCGCAGCAGCGCGGAAACTGTGTGCGATTCGCAGAAAAGAGCTCGGCGTAAGCAGAAACCTTCAGAGGTCCACCATGTTTCTTTGATCGGCTGTGCACTCCTCGTGCCGTGACTAGTGACTAGTGCGCTCCACGCGCTGGGGCGGGGGGGCGGTCCAGCGCCAATCCAAGACGCTCGCGCGGACATCCAACATCGCTGACTCAAAACAGACGCCCAATCACAAACACGCGAGGGCCAAAACAAAGCGCAGGCTCCTCGAGACTTCGGGGGGGGAGACTTCGGGGAAGGCTTCTACCAGGGGGCCAACGACGAGCGCAAAACATACCCCGAAATCTGCTTGCCCGATCCTCGAGTCCTCGGTGAATTTGTGATTTTTGGAATTGGGGATGTGCTTTTCCTTGGTCACCACAGTTACCCATCGGTCGTTGAAAAGTAGATATTTCTGGATTCCCAGATTCCAATCTACTTTCAGCGCCTTCCTACTTCAAGAGTCGAGTGGTTTTCCCCCTTCCCTCCTTTTCAGGAGGCGGGTGGAAACCCAATCTATTCCCAACGCCTTCTCACTTCATGTTTCTACCTACCTCTTCCGACCGATGGGTAATGTTCACGCAGCTGTTCTCTCCCGTTGGGAGCTGCCCGTTGGGTGGGCGTCACCCTGGACGGCATGCCGGGCTCCGGGCCTGCCCGTGGGCGCCGCCGTCGTCAGCGGCGCCTCTCGGGTCGTCCCCAACCCGGTTCTTGCGGGCGACGGGCATCCATGGACTTATGATGATTTGACCCCTTGCAGCATCATCAGACCTGCCCTGATTAGTAGGTCGACCCTGATTGGTAGGTCAACCCACTTTAGGCTTACACCGTCGGCCCGGATCAGTAGCTCGACCCCGCCAAGTCAAGGGTACCCTTGTGTCCTGTGTCTCGCGACCCATGCCTCCTACATTCCTATGGCAGTGTGCCCCTCGGAAAGGGTCTTGTGTCCTCTCGCGCGTCCTCTCCAATCAAGTCCGACTGTAATGCTCCAACCCACTTTAGCCTGAATCATCAGAAAGAGTTTCGAGCACCCGGAAAGTACCGAAACTGCAGGGTTTTCACTTGACGGGCTCTGGGAGGCGGTTTTCGTGCGACAGTGTTTCGACACTTTTTTGGGTGCTCGGAATCATTTCTGGGATTTGGTCCTGAAGTACGATGGGAGCAACATAACCATCGACTTCATTTCGGCGGCGAGCGAGGGGGAAGTGAGAAGGAGAAGTTCTTCTCAGAAGGCGGTGGGACTTCTCAAAAGCCCGCTGGCCTTTGAGAAGTTTTCTGTGTCTTCGGGGAAGGTTTAGAAAACTTCTCCGAAGGCCCGGGGACGAAAATCCCTGAATTCAGGGTCCAAGTCACGATCCACGCGTTTTTTTTCTCACCAGGGAACACTTGGATCACGATCCAAGTGGTTTCTAATAAGGAACACTGGACAGCCCCGGAGGAGAGACTCGGGGATGAGAGTCGGGGAGGGGAGTCGGGGAGGAGAGTCGGAGAGGAGGGTCGGGGAGGAGGGTCGGGAAGGAGAGTCGGGGAGGAGTGTCGGGGAGGAGAGTCGGGGAGGAGAGTCGGGGAGGAGAGTCGGGGAGGGGAGTCGGGGAGGAGAGTCGAGCTTTTGCGATGTTGTTGTGGACGGTTCTCGGAGGAGTCCGAAGACATCCTCGCAATTCTGACCCTGGGGATGCCCTGCCCCATGGTGGTCCAGCCACTTTCGCGTGAGACATCCTCGCATTTCTGGGTTCCGGGATGCCCTGAAGTGAGATGGTCTGGCCACTTTCGCCTGAGACATCTTCGCTTTTCTGACCTGAGAGATGCCCTGCCCCATGGTGGTCCGGCCACTTTCGCCTGAGACGTCCTCGCAACTCTGGGTTCCGAGATGCCCTGAGCTCAGGTGGTCAGGCCCATTTCGCTTGAGACATCCTCGCAACTCTGGATTCCTACATTTCCTGAGCCCAGGTTGTCTGGCCACTTACGCCTGAAACATCCTCGCAATTCTGACCTCGGAGATGCCCGTGGTCTGGCCATTTTCGCCAAGACATCCTCGCAATTCTGTATTCCCAGACTCCCAGAGCTGAGGTGGTCAGGCCTCTTTTTGAGACATCCTCGCACCTCTGACATCGGAGATGCCATGCCCCATGGTGGTCCGCCCACTTTCGCGTGAGACATCCTCGCAATTTTTGTGATCCGAGATGCCCTGAGCCACAGGCGCACCTCTGACATCGGAGATGCCATGCCCCATGGTGGTCCGCCCACTTTCGCTTGAGACATCCTCGCAAATTTGTGATCCGAGATGCCCTGAGCCAGAGGCGCACCTCTGACATCCGAGATGCCCTGAGCCATAGCCATCTGGATATACCACATTGTGCAAAGCACATCCGTATGACAAGAAACGAGGGCATGGTGCAAAACACATGGATCCGTGCGCACGTATTTGCGTTCCACAGGCGCATGTGATTGTGTTTGCGCACGCGCGCACGCACGTACAACACACATCGTCGGCGCGGCTCGGGGAGGAGGCTCCGGGAGGAATAGTCAGGGAGGAGAGTCGGGGACGAGATTCGGGGACGCGACCCGGGGGCGAGACTCGGGGACGAGACTCGGGGAGGAGACTCGGGGAGGAGTCTCGGGGAGGAGTCTCGGGGAGGGGACTCGGGGAGGGGACTCGGGGAGGAGTCTCGGGGAGGAGACTCGGATAGGAGACTCTGGGAAGAGTCTCGGGGACGAGACTCGGGGACAAGACTCGGGGACGAGACTCGTGGACGAGACTCGGGGACGCGACCCGGGAGCGAGACTCGGAGAGGAGCCTCTGGGAGGAGTCTCGGGGAGGAGTCTCGGGGAGGAGTCTCGGTGAGGGGACTCGGGGAGGAGACTCGGGGAGTGGACTCGGGGACGAGACTCGGGGAGGAGACTCGGGGAGGGGACTCTCAGGCTGTCCTCTCGGGCTCTCCGCGGTGCGAGGCGCGCCCGAAGCACTTGGATCACGATCCGAGTGTTCCTGCCAACCTTTCCGAGCCCTCTGAGAAGGCCCGCCCCTTCTCGTTTCCCCCCAACACCAAACCCAGCACAGACGACCAACACAGACTCTACCCAGCGACTTGGCACCAACACACCACGACATCGACCACAATCCTTCCCATCCTCCCTTCCCCTCTGTTTCACATAACTTTTTACATGTCTCGCATGCAAGCCTCACCATACACAATAGTCTTTCAGAGGCCACGGCCTCATTCACCTGGTCTCCAGTAGGCCCGGACTGCTGTCCGCATTGGTGGTCGTTCGTTCGTTCGTTTCCCTCGCTCGCCGCCGATCTTTGCCCCCGACGCAGAAGAGCGGGGTCGACTGTGCCGACGCTGGTGCGCAAGCTGCCCGCGCAAGGCCGCGCGTGCGCAGCGTCGTGACCACTGTGGCGTGCCGCGCTGGCGGCCCGCGTGAGCCGTTGCGTGAGGTCGCCATGTCCTCGCGCGTCGGACCCGTTTCGCTTCGTCGCCCGAGCGGGCCCAAAGTAGACGTGGTCGGCGGATCGTGCAGCATCGCCACTTCATCGGCGGTGCAGCGCGATTTCGAAGTCGATTTTCTCCATGCCGAAGTCGCCGATGCATCCACGCTGCAACGGCGCTGCGGTGCAACCCTTCGACCCCGTCCACTACGGCCCAATTTGGGTGGCTTCCATGCAGGCGTCTGGTCCCGCAGGGGCTCGGTGCTCCTTCAGTTTTCTCCTCGTGGCTCCAGCCTAACATGTCTTATCGCGCGAGACCCGTTTGTTTTCGTGGCCTTAGCTGCCCCGATACGCCCGTACCGAAGCGCAGCACGGGCCGTGTTGAAAGCATGAGTGCTAACACGCTGGGTGTTGGCTCGGCGTGCTGGCCCTTATCCTGGCGAACGTGTCGAGCCCAACGCACGTCCTCGACCTGCGTGCTGAGCTTCGTGGCAGCACGCCACGGGCTCCTGGCATCGCTCGGACGTGTGCAGTTATGTGTTTCTCGGCGAGGACCCTTGAGGAGCATCCTTGATATCATTTGGCGAAAAAACCACGCACGTAACCGAGAAAGGCACAGGGAATGGAGGCCCGAGCGATGGCCAGGGCTGCATGTTGCAAGTCGGGGCAGCTGCGTTCCTGACTCTATCGCGCTTGGCCCTCTCGGCCAGATGGTGCCGCCTTTCGCCGCGAGGCGGTGCGCGAGGGCGAAGGCGGGCGCGCGCCGCGGGGCCGCTCGGGGTCCGCTTGGGGGCCCGCGCGAAGGCGGAGGTCGCTCGTGTGAAGTCGGGCCTGGCCCCCTACAGGGGGATTGTCGACGAAAAATGCAGTCCAGTCCAGTCCAGAAGCGTTGCGCCGGCCACAGCGCGTGAGCAATGGGTGAAAATGTGCACGGAAACGGATGCCTTCAGCACGCCCCCCATGCCTTGACCGCCTGCTCCCACCTGCGAGCTGCACCGCCCTCTCGGCGGAAGTAATCAGCAATTCGCTCATGGGAGCCGGCAACATTCAAGCAGTTCTTCAGCACCATGGGCCCCCAAGACTGTCTCGGGCGGCCTCTTCTCCTTTTCCCAAGAAGGCTCTTGAGAACCAGACCGCCCGGCTCAAATACCGAGCTTCTGACTGGATCCTCGTCTGGTCTTCTCGCCAGATGGCCCATGTACAACATCTGTCTACGCGCAAGACTATGGCTCAGAGGCGTCTGTTGGCTGATCTGCAGAACTGCACGGTTCGATACCCGACTGATGTACGACGGAGGGACTCTGCAAATTCGTCTGAGACAATAATTTTGGAACCCGTCGAGCCGTCTTCGCTCGGCTTGGTTAAGACACGCAGTGAATAATACATACGTGAGTTTGGAAACAATGCAAGCATTAAACATACGTAGCTCCTGTCTCCTACTCAAAGTCGAATGCGACCAGATTCTTGCAAGCACCTTGAAGTCACTTCTGGCCGCCCCAATTCTCCGACTCAGTTCTGTGCCTATGCGCCCGTCCGCAGCAAGAGACGTCCCGAGATAAGTTAATGACTGCTTGGCTGGGATGGGGACCTCGTTGCGTCCCAAAATATCAGCTTCGGTCCTTACTTTCATAAGTTCCAACTTGCCCCAATTGAACTGCAGCCCGCACTGGCCCCCGCAGTCCTCAATGCAGCGCATCAGCTCTTGAACGAGGGCCAGGTCAGAGTCTATGAGCACGGTGTCGTCCGCGTACACTAGCTCCCTCGCAAACTGGTTTTCAGGTATCGGTCCGGCACGACTCTGAAGCAACGCGTGCGCGTCCGTGAGAAGCGTCGTCATCACAATGGTGAACAGAAAAGGGGACAGCGGACAGCCTTGGCATATACCGTACCTCTGCTGATGGATGCTGGACGTGGCCCCGAAGTCCCTCACGACGAACTTGCGCTCGCTGTAAATCGACACGACGACGTCCACGAAAACTTCTGGGCAACCAAATCTCCGCAAAGACCCGGCGAGCGCGTCCAGCGAGACCGAATCGAATGCCTTGGCCCAGTCGAGTGCCAGGAATAAGCGACTTGCATCTCGTGTTGACCATGTGTCGTCCAGCACCCGGCGGGCTAGGAACACTGCGTCTGCCGTGCCCCGCCCGGAGCGGAACCCGAATTGGGTTCGCCAGATGCGGTCTTCGGCCCCCGCCTGCTTCAGCCTCCGGAGCAGGATGGTTGCGAACAATTTGCAGCCGATGGGCGAGATACTGATGGGGCGGTAGTTCTCGCATTCTGCAGGGTCGCCCTTCTTGAACAGCATCGACACTCTCGCATGCCTCCAAGCTTCTGGGATCTGACCTTGTTTCCAAACGTCGGTGTAGAATTTTGCCAGATAGCTCTGGAGACCTCCCGCGTCGCTCGCCGCTGCTTTCCAGAATTCGGGTGGCATCCCGTCAAGGCCAGAAGCGCGTCCTCGCTTCAGTTTCGCAGCTGCGGCCTTCACCTCCCCCACTGTGATATCACCCATGGAGATGGGCAGGTCGTTGTCGGCAATCCGGGCAGCAACTGGCGGTGCCACTGACGTGGGTCTGACTGCCCACTGCACCCTCTCGAGGTAGTCGGCCAGAGTCTCAGCACGCTGGTCCGTTTCCACAATGCCCTTGTTGACGTCACGAAGCTTGCCCTGTCTGCGGACAGTGCCTTTCCGGAGCCTCCGAATCTGATTCCAATCAGCGGATTCCGTGACCGATTCGATCCAAGCGGCCTTGTCCCTGGCAACCGAAGCGCGGATTTTCTTCGACAGGCGCTTCTCCTCGTCAGTGTCGCCCTGCCTTCTGGCGCTCCCACGGCGCTCGATCAGCCCCAGCGTTCCGGTGCTCGTCCACGGCCTTGTGGTCCGCCTCGGAAGGAATGGCAACGTGCGTTCGGCAGCGTGATGAAAACCGTCCACGATACGACTCCAACCAAGATCGACATCCTCGCCTCCAGCTGCTGTGTCCTCGAAGCCCTCCAAAGCATTCAACATGTTCACGTTGAAAAAACAAGCGGCGTGTGGGTCGGAGAGGGCTGTGACATCAAGGCGTGGACTCTGACTCGCAGCGCCGTCTTCTCAACTGACATACTGACACACGCAGTCAACAAAAATGATGGGTCGACAACGGCACGTCGTGCCTAGCAGCCACGCCAGTGATGTCCTGGAGAAAAGTCCTCTCGCAGAGTACGAAATCGATCTTCGAGTGCGTCGAGGATCTAATTTGTAGCCCGGCAGGCGTACCCACGTTGTAGTTAGTCACAAGGTTGTTATCCAGCACGTCAAAAAATGAGTTTGCAACGCACATGCTCAGATTCTCGCACATCTCAACCATGAGGTGCCGGTTGGCGTCGTCCTTGCACGTCTGGTGGGGGTGCTTGAAAATATAGGGCCCCACCGCGTCACTCTCTCCATCGAGTTGGCCATACAACTTTGCACTCATGTCTCCTAACACAAGCTTGGGTCCATGAGCAGATCTTGTGGAAACGAATTCTGACAAGTTCGTGAAGAAGTCAAACCGCCGCTGGAACTCGTAACCGCTGTGCGGCGCGTATGTAGAGAAAATAACAGCTTTACCTCCTGGGATCCGAAGCTTGAGCGATGCAATGCGGTCCGTCGCCTGGCAAAATCCAACCACAGAGTGCCTGAAACTTGGATGTACGATGAAGCCCACTCCAGCCCGCTCGTCCTCTGGGTCTCCCGCGCCGCCGGAAAGGACAACGAGGTAGCCGGAATCCGTGACGTACGTGCTAGACTTTGATGTCCATGTCTCCTGTAGGCACAAGATCTTGATATTTAATTGATCCATTATGTATTCTAGCTCAATGTGTTTCGAGTCTGTATGCCCTTCGATGTTCCAAGATGCAATGTTGAATTCGTCAGCCGTGGCAGGGCGTAAACGACCACCCCGAGCCGCAGAAAGTGACAACGTGGCTTGGCCAGCTGGATATCCACATACTGCAGGTGAAACGTCATTGCTCACGCACAGTTGGCGCCCCTACT